TTTACATTTGAAACGTGTCATGATGGAAATCTTTCACTTTCTGGAACCCCAAAAGTGCTGCAGAAAATTATGGACTGAGACAGCCTGATTTAACCTTGTAACACTGACCTACAAGTCTCTACTGAAAACAAATCACAAATTGCACTGTTTTCTGACTAAGGATGTTTCAGGCATCCTCGTGTCAATGGATAACTACACCTAAAGAGTTTGCTACCAAAAAACAGCTCACAAAATTTTGTGAACTCCTTAACCACAAAGAGATGCAAAAAGTGAAGTATTTGAGTCTGTAAACTGTACCAGTTTTCCCTGTTTTTGCACTAAGTGAAAATTTTTTCAAAGGAGAGTTACTGCAATATCACCTTAGTATCCCTCGAGGAACAGCAAAGTGTTGTGAATTGGAAGTCTGTCTTTGTAGCAATACCAGTATCTGCAACATCATAAAACTGAAGCATTGCTCTGGCACAGTTACTCAGAACAATCTAGAAAAGTTTGCTGTGGAGGCTGGTGGGCCTGCTACACCTCTGTCCACAGCCTTGTCCTGGAGGGACGTCCCTTGAGTGGGCTGTGACTAGCTTACCTCAACCCCCCTGGAGAGATGCCCTTTAGGTAGGCACATTCTCCCTTATCATGGTGAGCTATCCCAAAGGCTTCAATTATTCCACCATGCATGTTAATCTTTTGTAATCCATTGGTCTTTCCCCCTTTGGTACCACCCTTGTTTTTCTCCATATAAACTCCAGCCTCTGCCCTGTTCAGACAGGGAGCTGTCGTCCCTGGCCCCCTTCAGAGAGCTCCCGGATAATAAAGAACCTCTGTGGAATTGCCTTATGATGCTTCTGTCTCTCTGTCCCTTTGTAAGCCTGGGATGGCCTCTCAAGCAGAGCTGAAATCACTGAGAGCTGATATCACAGAGGTGATCGCTTGCAGCCACAGGCTGCCTGCTTGCTAAGGTTTATCCAGTGGCTAGGAGACCTGTCAGAAGACCCCCCTTAGAAGGCTGTCCCCTTACGAGACCCTCTCTCTGGGAAGGTTGCAGCTTTCCGGGTCGGAGAAACAGACGAAAGAACTGGTGAATGCTTCCCCAGTGAATTTTGACAGTACAACTTAATATTAAACTGTTATGTCTAGAAAATAAGGGGGGGGAGGGGGGGAAGAGGAAAAAAAAATTACTGACATGCATCTGCCCATGAGATCAAACTTCTTATGCACTGTTGTTTTGATTTTTAATTGCCATGACTGTTAGAGAGAATTGGAGAGCACTGTAAAGATACTCAACCCTCTTGGAAGACATCCAATTTATGTGGTTAGTATGGTGTGATGATGAGGAAACAGAAGATAATGTGGCACACAGATCTTTGCAGGCTTTAAAATAGCATCTTTCATCGTAAAATTACTCTATTTTAAGTGGGTGATTGAAAGGTACAAATAAGGCATTTGGGTTGATGTCTACTGCTGTGGAGAGAATTGTGAAGAATTTAAACATTCTTGTCTTTTTTAATAGTTTTTCTCAGTCTTCTATATAACATTACCTACCTAGCACAGCAGTCATCTGCACACTGACATGTCTGTCAGGGTAAGGCTAAGAAACAACTTGGATTAACCATCTGTTTACTTCACTGATACCACTCTTTGTATTGGGGCCATAGTGGAGAACAAATGAACAAAGTCTTGGTTACCAGTCAACTTTGAGGGAACCATAAAAAACCTGCTTTAGAAGCTACAGGCTATCTGTTTTTAAACCTGTGAAAACAAGAGGCATTTAGAGATCCTTGTCTCCTGAAAGAGTATCAAGGAAAATAAAGATCTTGAGCAAGGTATATTCTAACTGAGTCAGTTAGCTGCACAGTTATTGCTCAAGACAGCACTGCAAACTTGAAAATCAGCAGGCATTTCCTTCCCTATCTTCGGTTCAGCTTCTTTACCATCTCATCCCTATTACATCCAAAATGCATGACTATAGTTTTCCCAGACTTTCTACTGCTACAGGTTCCCTCAAGCCACAGCCCCTAAGTGAGGGAATACCATTAGCCTGACACTGCCTTGCCTGAAAGCTCACAAAAGTACTGATATAGATAGAGGAGTGCTACAGGTAAAAGTCAGGTTAAAAAAGCAAATTACTACTTTTTTGCCACACATCAAAATCTGAGGTATGGAGAGCTGTTGTACGAATTAAAGCTGCTCAAAGTAAAAAAGCAGCTGCATGCCCTGTTGCTGAATGAAGTTTGTTTAGACTAGGACACAAGTCACAAGTTAATGCACTGTAAGTAAGTAGTAAAGACTCTTGCTAGCAATTCCAAATGCACAGTGACTGTAACACTTGATGTCTGCAACATCAAAACACATACAATAGCACATGAAAGGATCATGCTTTCTTTGTCTTAGCGAATGCAAGATGCAACCTGAAATTAAGAGATCTTTTATTCCTTTGTCTTTGGAACAGAATTCATAGCACTGAAGGTTGATTGTCTCACCTTAAAGCAAAGAGAATCCCTGGTTGCAAAAAACTGATCATGAATGGCATCCATTAAAGCCATCAAATCACTGGTCACAGCTCCCTTTCTACAGAACATCTTGATGTTTCTGAAAGTTCCACTGATCTGGAATGGATATGCTGGTTATAGATATGTGGGTTCAAGTTAAATAGACTTTCTAGGACAATCTGAATTCTTTCATTTGTATTCCCCTTTGAGGTACCTTACCACAGAAGACTCCCTAGCTTTTTGCATATGTTCCCTTAGAAATCTGCCTCTGTACTTTGACTATCCTAATAAAAATATGGGGTCCAGCTCAGCAAGAGGAACAGTCTATAAAATCCAAGGGAATTTCACTAAGGAAAGTGATTAGACCTTATTTTTTATCTACTCTAAGTGGCTCCCAAATGTTCTGACCACTGACGTCATTCATCCACAGAACACCTTAATGAAATTTAAGTATTTTCAACAGAGAGGCAATGAAGTTTTGCAGACATCTTGCTGCTTTCTTGGGGTCCACCAGTGATACAGATACCTCTTTTGAAGAGAAAATGCCAAACCAGCACACTGCCACACATCAGGCACCTGTTTCTAACTGCTCACATAAAACTACATGAAATGCCACTCACTGTAGCCACAGATTATAGGAACAAACCTTCCCAATATAAGACACAATTTCACTCCACTCTCTGCCCAAGCATTGTAGGACATACTGACAGTTTAAAGTGCCTTCTATGCCCTTCAGAACAGCACAAGGACATGAAGACTCCACACACAGTCCTTCATGGGTACTCTTAGTGAAAACTTGCCAAACCTCTCATGCACAGGGTGTCTGCCACTGTTTTGCACTGCTTCTGGATATAAGAACGAAAATATTTTGAAAACAAAAAATAAAACATCTTTCCACTTGAACTAGTTTTTAAAATGCAAATAAGCAACTGCATCAATCACCTGAACACTAACATGAAAGTTATGACCAACTGGTTGCAAAGTTTTAGAAAGTCTTCTCTTCACAAGTTGCTTTTAACATTTTTATTAGGAAAATCTTCTAAGTGAAATTACAAACTAAGCCTGTAGAACTGTTGCTGTAACTTAAAACACAACGTCTTTTTTTTTTTAATGTCTGTTTGCAGGACAAGCTATGAAGAGTCACAAAGTCTCACTGATGGCTCAATTATAGTTGATGTTGTCATGAATTTGGCACTACAATATCGCCTATTCACTGCTATGTGAAGAGTTCAAGCCTTCTCTGTCCCCAGGTTTTGAAAGAGATTACCAGCAAAAGCAGTAGCAAAGCTGAAGTTAATCTAAACTGAAGAGATAACAGGCAAGCACAGAGGTAATGAAAAACAATGTACTAGCCAAGCAATTTTGGTGACATTATTCAACCTGCAAAAAAAAAATGTGGCAAAACCCAACATTTTCCGAGCTCCAGTTCAGAGTTCACTGTTATCTTGCTTGTTTCCAAAGCACAAGACATGAAAATTGTGGATTTTTCTGCAATGTAGTGTCTCCTTAAATTATTCTTAAAACAAAACCAGATCACTTTAACAGACTTCCTTCTGTGAAGGAAAAAACCACTAAAACAAAAAGCATAACCCAAGAGGTAGTCTCAAATTTTGAATTTATTTGTATTTGTGATTTACAAGTCTGAGATGAGGATTCTAAATTCAGATTTCTTCCCTGAAACAGTCTTTCCAAAGTCTCTTCTAAGTTACACAAAAGATTTCTCTTCTTCCTGCCCTCTCCTTCCTCCACCATCTCTTGCAAACTGCCTGAAGGCAAATATAATTGGAACCTTGCACTCACTGCAGACATGTCATGAACAAGAACACTATCCAGAGTCATCATCACGCTAACGCCAGCACACTGCACTGCCTGCACTGCCCTGCAAGATGATCAGTGTGTGGATGATAAGCATGCCCACAGCCAAGGCAATCCTAGCAGACCTGAGACAGGGTAGGTCACATTGTTCTCCAGCAAAATCTGTCCAGACTAACTACAAAACAGTCCAGATAGCTCTGAAAGCAACTGTAAACATTCTCCCACTTAAGAAGAAAAAACGTGAAGGATTGAGGGGGGAGGGAAGTTTGAAAGCAAGAATCTGCTTACAGACAGAGTATCATTAACTATTAATAACAAAAAGGCTGCAATGCAGACAGCTTGAAATCTGGTACAGTGTCCTGGGGTACAATGCAAAAATGTGTATTCTATCACCATCTGTTAAAATGTGGGAGGGGTGGTGATCCTTATCTCTGTGGGAGATATCCTCTGCTGATGTGCCATCTGATAAGATCGGGGATGATCATCGTTATCTTTTCATAACCCATCCTTCCTCCAGAAGATATATTCTGTTAAAATGGGCCATTAAGTCCTATTGTGTGACTGATAAGATTGCATCATCCCATTGGGAGATGCCCCAGCCAGGGGCAGGAGCCAAGCCTTTCCTACCTAGATAAAAAACTGAGGTTTGGGACGCGAAGACAGACGTTTCCACTGGATCCCAGAGGGAAGTCGGATCATTTCCACATCATCGCTGGATCTTCGGAGGAAAACTGCACCTTCTACAGGAGCACTGCTTCAACAGAACCACATCTGTCATCCAGGAGGACTGCAGCCACCATTTATACGGACTGCTACCAACACCCTGACTGACAGGGTGTCAGGCTGTATTTCTGACTGTGTCGGTGGTTGTTTCTTTTATATTATTGCATGTATTTTATTTTTTCTCTTTTCTCCTATTAAATTGTATTATTGACTTAGAGTCTCGCACTGGTTTTACTTTCAAACCAACACATACAGCTTACTACATCATAGCTGAATTTGAGACCATTATATCACAGTATACCAGTAATAGCTCCACAGCTCCCTTTCATTGAGAAATTCATACATTTATATGAAGACCACACAGCACATGTTTCCAGCAATACTGTACTTCTAATGCTGATAGCTGCTTGAAAATTCAGAAAATTCAAAAGGATTTCTTCTAGTTAAACATTTCATTTTAAAAGTAGGTCTTTCTAAAATAGGATGTTTTATGCCAAACAATTTACAGATGCTACTTAATAAAGCATAAGATCTGAGTGTGCACTAACGCTGTGGAGGGAGATGAAATGCACTCATACATACCAAAGTTCATCATCATGACAAAGTTCCTTCACTAGGAAGAAATTATGATTCAGTTTCCTCTGGGAAGAGCCCTGTGAAAGCCAACCTCTTATGCCAAGACAGCACAACTTCTTTGCACCTCACTTCAGAGAACTGGCAATAAGTAAGCAGTTCATACTATAACTTATAAGCAAGGTACAGCAGATACTAAGCGCCAGTTGGGGCTGGCAATGGTTTGCTTTGGTTTTTCCAGTTTCAGTATGCTGGTGGCTTAGGTGGAACCCTCTATTCACATCTAAACAAATCAGTTTAGCTAATCCTACTTTTTTTCCCATCCAGACATTTCAAAGAGTATTGATGCGACCTTTCAGGTGCACTCTTCCCTGATGAAATACAGAGTCACTGCTGTTTTCCAGACTGACAAAAGGACAAATGGCTAAAGGAAAACAGGGAAGACCATCTGCAGGGCAAAAGGTTGGATCCCACTATACTATTGCCAGAGTATAGGGCAGGCAATGCCAAGGGTCTCAAAGCTGTGAGATGGAGAAAGACAAATGAAAAAGTCTGTGCTGAAGCAAAGTGAGGATGCTCCAGGAAGGGGAGATGCAACCATTTTAGTGCTCAAGTTCCCCTATTTCCTCATCACGTCCTTCCTACAGTTGGTTCACAGCACTGAAGTTGTGCAGTCCTGTGCCCCTGCTGTCACCTAACTCAGGCTCCACTGAGGAAGATGGAGCTAAGGAGTCCAGCCCTAGTGCTGGACCTCACCAGTTACATGCTCCCCTTTCTCAACCAAGGTGGGTCTTTTAGTTTGGAATCTATTTCAGAAAAAAGGTCTATTTGATCACAGCTGGTCCTAGTCTGTCAAACTTCTCAAGGTGGAGAAAGCTGCCCACGCAAATGGGTGTTTGCATAAAGATGGAAAACAAGGTAAATAACCATTAAGAGAAGATTTTTTGTGAAGTTCTTGAATTCACAAATTATTCAGAAACTTACAACATGGTTTCGAAATAACTCATATAAGAAATATATTGAAGATACAGAAATAAAACACATGTAGAGAATTAATTATAAGAGCCACGCCAAGAAAAGTCAGGATGGACAGCCAATCAGGGCAATTCTACAATAAAAACTGCAAATAGTAGGAGGATGGTCCACTTTCTAGAACAGAAGTAGATCAAGAAAGATAATAAATCTGAAGTCACAACCACATCAAAAAGGTACTGACAAATGTTAGCTTGCTTCTCTCTGGTATTTAATTTTTTTTTTGTAGATTTGAATGTAGAAATACAGTATCTCTGGGAATAAAAGTAAAAACCCTAGAAAAAAAGTAAATGTTAATAAATATATATTTAAAAAACAAACGAAACCCCAAACAAACCAAAAACTCTCAAAAAAACCCCTACTTTCTCAGGCTGAGAAACCAGCACAGCTTTCCATCATCTCTTTTTCCAGAAGAAAAACTAGAAAGTTCTTGCCGTGCTTAAGAAAGTATTGTTCTTTCCCTTACACTTCGAGTTAAGTATGCAGGTAAATATTCCCACCAAGTTTGGAGCCCATCAGGAGCCCAAGGCCCAACTTTTAGAGACATGGGAGACCAGAAGACATCAATGATTTACAGCACCTTGCCACAGCGAGAGACAGAGAATACCTACTCTTTCAATGAAATTCTGAAGGGCATCAGAGACCAAAAACAACAAACATTTTAATCAACATTTTCTGAGACTGAAGCTAAAGTACTGCATCTATCTCAGAGATCCACATTTATAGAAGCACCCTAAAAAAAAAAAAAAAAAAAAGGATACTGCTGAAAAGCTACTGAAAATAGGCAGGAAAATCTATTTAGTCCCATATAATTAAATTACTAACAAAGACAGAAAAATCTGATTCTAACTTGCAAATATTACCAGGAAATACTTCACAGAAAAACACTAGATAGTAATAGGGCACTATGACAAAGTCACAACTAGGGCTCCTTCAAAATTTTCTTTTTACTTCTTTTTATTCTCTGCTTAAAATAATGAATAAATATTTCTTATCATTAAAATGTCTACACAGTCAGCAGCTCCCAGGTTTTTTACATATATAGGTACTGAAGTTTCACAGAAACTTCTTTGGTATGTGATTCTCTTCTTTGCTGCTTGTGAACGCAAATTCTATTTGTATAACCAATCAAATCATCTGCTGAGAAGACAGTGATAATGCTGTCTATGCTGCCAGGATTTGAGACTTTCTCACATGACAAAAACTTAATGCTGCACTAGACAGGTTTTCATTAGCAGAATGCTAATAAATTTATATCCCCAAGCAATTAATTATGCAGACTGGGCAACAGGAAGTTTCACAGCAAACATGTACACTCAATCTTCATAAAGTTGTTTTGCCCAGCATATGAGCTCCAGTTTGGGGAAGACAATGCCCAGATGAAGTGAGGAACTGAGTTTCTTTCTAACAGGCTGCAGATCTCTTCCATTAGTTCTCAGATATGCTAAGAACAGTTGACTGAAAACCAAGCCAAGCATACTTGCAATGATCATTGGTGCTTTGTATCTTTCAAAAGGCGTTGTACTTAAACAAAGGCCACACTAGTCACTTGAAAATTCAGCTATCTGTTCTGCATTCAAATCTTGCCTCTGGACAACGGTGGAGGATTCCAAGATCTCATGGACTTTTCAATCTGTTAAGGCTTCTGCTCAAGAACTAAATGCAAGAATCACAAAAGCATTAGACAATTTTGGGATCAGGCAGCAGAGCAGTGAGAGGGGAATAACAGGACTTGAAATTCACCCTGTTCTGCTTCTCAATAGGAAATTCAATAGTATTTTAACAACAATGATAAACCACTAACAAAGGATAATGGACTCACTACTCAGAACCTAAATGCCTTAATGCCCTTCTGGAAAATATGGTTGCATTAAATGTGCTTTGAAAACCCAGCTAGACAATCTACAACAAAGCTTCATAGCCTCAATTATTCAAGAGACAATTACTACTAGATTATTTAAATGCATTACTTTTATTGCCAAGAATACTGAACACTATGGCTCAGAATTTTGCGCCGCTATACACTGAACTGACAAGTAAATAGCCATTTCTAATGTAAGAAACCTAGATTTTCCTTTCTGTGATTAGGTTCATCAATAAACCAGAAAAGGATTTATCAGCAACTGCCAATTATACAGGATCTACAGCATCGGGAGTGCAGCAGTTCATTTGCCTAAGTAAACTCAAGAGTTTTGGTATTTAACTGGCAACAGATTTATGAGCCCGGAGAGTCACATTAGCAAAACCAACTCTGTAAGAAAGGTGGGCAAAGGCCAGCTAAGAAAACACTAGACACAAGTTGGTCAGAGTGATTTGTGAATGCAAACACAAGCAATACCTGAGCATTCAAACCCACAAGTTAGTGCAACCTATGGTTTGTCAGGATTCTCAGCCAGTGCACAACAGGTTAAGCTGTTAGAAGGACTGATGGTGAATAAACAGATCATTATTTAGCACAGAAGATCATGAATCAGTTTACAGTTTTGTTTTAGAGGGCTCTCTTTCACACAAAATACTCAGCTGGCTTCTGTCTCAATGCTTAGCAGCTATGTTAGTGCTGGACAATGACTTGCCAGGACATCTAATGCCACCACAGTAAACACATTCTGCAACACAGACCCCAAAATCTCGGGATCTTGCACTTTCCAGAGTGTAATATTCCTCATCCAATGCACTACATGCCTAATGGAAGCTAAGAAGACGCAGTCATAGTGGAGGTCATTAAAGAGACATTTACAAAGGACAGAAATATCCAACTGCCAGAGCAAGACATCATTCAGCAAATAACAATCTCTGCCCCCTCTGCTCTTATCCACAAGGGAAGCCTACAAAACTTATTTGAAACAATGAGCCAAAAGTGACAAAAATTCAACAAACGCCAAAAACCCTAAACTCAGTAAAGTGCCATAAACCCAGTAATTTTACTCCCCCTTCATGTGTTTTTGTGGTTGTTTTTTTTGTTGTTGTTGTTCTTGTTTTGTTTGTTGTTTTTTTGTCTGGTGAAAAAACTCATTTTAGCACTTCTTTCACTCCCTTTTCACATCCCTCAACCCCACTGCTTTATTTCAAAGACTCAGATGATGAAAAGCATATCTAGTTTTTTACCCACCACCTACAGCAAAACATTTAATAATTGTTTTTCTCTAGCTTTGAAACCTGATTTGCCTATACTCTAATACAGTCACACAATAAACCTCACCTTTCGAGAGCTCCTATTTTTCTTAACATGTTTGCTAAATCTAGATGACCTCCTTTCTCAGTAGCCCGTTTAACTGACTGCCTACTATATATAAACATACTCTAAGCACAGGATACAAAAGCTGCAGATTCACCACGGTTTTACCTTAAAAAAGGGGACTCTCTCCCATCATAAGGCAGAAAAATTTAACCA